AAAATATAGTAATCGAAGTAACTCAGACCACTGAACACGAGTAAGTTTTTCATGTGATTTTCTACTCGATTTAGTATAATATCTTCGCTATTGTTCTGCGTCTTGTCGATGTTGGGCTAAGTCACGTTCGATAAACCAAGTATCAATATCATTTATACCTCCAAAATGATGACGCCTATCCTCAAACTGTGCCTGTTTTTCACAATGATAACAGGCTACTAATGCTGAAGTATGGCTACAAAGCTTTCGAGCTGCAGGTATATCATATGAGCATAAGATTAATACTGCTCGAATTGTCTTTCCAGATGAGTTCTCATAAGTTGAAATTTGAACACCATCCCAAAATTGGCATAGTTTATTAACAATCAGTACAAGATAGTGGTTAATACGGTGTAGATGAACTTCATTTGAACCAGGTAAAATACCAAGAATCATTATATTTTCAGATTTAAACCTAAGTTCTCTTGGCAAATTAGAAATAGCTATATAGATTACACCAGTACTGTACTGAGTACCTTCAAATAGCTGAAACCAGTCCAAATTTAATATAAAGCCAAGATGTGTATCTGCCAATTCTGGAGTAAAAAATTTGCCACCAATCGATTCTTTATCAGCAAATTCTTTCCAAACTTAACCATCATAAATATCAGAAAGAATGCCTTCAGAAACAGTGCGACAAGTCTATTTTTGACATAATTTTTCAAAATCAAGATGCATATACATTTTTGCAAGTTGGCTTTTGATACTTGCAAAAGAATAAAGTAAAATCGGTTTATTAATAGTCTTGCTATTTAGATACTGATTTTGTGTTGCTAAGGCCAAATTACATGTAATTATTTGTCTAGATCCAATTATATTTAGAAATTCGACATAGTTACATTTTTTTACTGACAATTGTCCATTATCTCGTGAATCAACAACATCATCTTTGTTATATAATTTGTCACAATTCGGACAAACTGAATATGTTATAAAATTATTATCAAATTTAAAATATTTTTGAAGCATATACATTGAATTCAGAAAATCTTCGAATAGATCTTTATCACCAAACTTACATAAAATTTGATAAATGAATTTAACCAAAGCTTCAGTAGCACCTTCAGATATTTTAAAATCACTTTGGAATTTTAATAGCCAAATTAATATATCCTCATAATCAGAAGATGACCTAAAGCCAGATTGAGAATTTTCTTCTTCATAATCAATATTTGGTGCCAAATAATCTTCGAATTCATTAATATTGCTGTATCAAATGTCTTCAGTTGATTCTTCTTTAGATAATGATACATTATCATCATCGTAATTCAGCATAATATTATCATCACTACTTTCATCTGCTGAAGGTATAGCTGGTTTTTCTATATTAGAAATATTCATTCTAGCACTTGATATTTGGCGATGTTTTTTTGGTAAAAATGTTAAGTTCTCTATATCAAGGCTAGATAGCAATTCATTATTATGGTTAGATGGAATTTCATCTACATCTGACTATAAATCAACAGTCGATTGACTTAGACTACTTAATTCTGAAATTATTGAAGTCATCTGAGTTGATTGTCTCAACTCATTTAAATCTAAAGTCGGTTGTTGTCTTTGCTAGCTAGTAGTTAAAGAGTGTCTATCTTTAGTACGAGGATCAACTAACTTGCCATTACATTTTTTGCAATAGCATTTAACTCTCATATGTGTTCTATGAGTTGAAGTAGGTGGTTTAGTAGTCAAAGGTTCAGATTGATAAGATGAATCTTGGTTAATAGTGTTTAAAATATCTTTAGCACTTTGTTTTCGTGACATTTTTGTAAGTTATGAATTTGACGATTTATAAATTGATATGTTACGATTATTTCTTTGCACAATTGGCATATATTTATAAAAAAATTTTTTTCTATTATACTCTATATAACATGCTTTAATTGAATACTTTTATTTGAAGTCGAATATGATGCGAATTTTTTTTATATTATAATAACACACTTTAATTTAATACTTTATTTAAAGTCAGAATGTGTTTCGATTTTTTTTTATGAAGCTGGTTATAACACATTTTAATTTTAATATTTTTTATTAAGGTCGAATGTGATTCGATTTTTTAATTATAAAGATGATTATTACACACATTAAAAATTTAATATGGTCTGATTTTTTTGATTATGAAGCTGATTATTATGCGTCTTAGAATATTTTTTATTAAGGTCAAATATGATTCGATTTTTTAATTATAAAGCTAATTATTACATGCATTAAAAATTTAATATGGTCTGATTTTTTTGATTATGAAGCTGATTATTACACGTATTAAAAATTTAATATAGTATTTTTTTTTTTTTATGAAGCTGGTTATAACACATTGTAATTTAATATTTTTTATTAAGGTCGAATGTGATTCGATTTTTTAATTATAAAAGTTGAAAATAGAAATAACGACACCATATCGTCAAACATTATGCAAACATTCATCAAACATTTTGCTTCCGATTGATCCAATTGCGTGATTGGATCAATCGGAAGCAAAATGTTTAATGAATGTTTGCTGAATGTTTGACAATTTGGTGTCGTTATTTCTATTTTTAACCAGTGTTACATGCATTAAAAATTTAATATAGTCTGATTTTTTGATTATGAAGCTGATTATTACACACAGTAAAAATTTAATATAGTATTTTTTTTTATTATGAAGCTGGTTATAACGCGTTTTAATTTAATATTTTTTATTAAGGTCGAATGTGACTCGATTTTCTAATTATAAAGATGATTATTACATGCATAATTTATTAAAATTACATAATATTCAACTATAGTTGTTAGGCGAAACCTAGAGGTTTCAGCATTAGCGAAAGGCAAAACCTAGTTTCAACTTTTGCTAAAAAATTTTAAAATAGCGAAATAATGAAACTGATGAAAAATGATAAAACTGGTGAAAAGTAGCAAAACTTGCGAAAAGTGACAAAACTAACAAAAGGTGGCAAAACTGATAATGCAGGCCAAAATTTTATGCACTGATTTCCGGTTATGGTTGCTACAGATATTATAAACTATATAGAATCCAGATTCAATAAATTGAATCCAGATTTACCCAAATTCAGATTATTATCCGAATACACAAAGTAGAATCCAAATTACTTACATGTAAGTTAACAACTCTAATCATAGTGTAGGGAAGTAAACTGATAAATTCTGGCTAGCTTTAATATTTAGTTTGGCTGACATTAATGCTAAGAGAAGGACTCCAAAAGTTCTAAGGTAGACTATGAATATAAAAAAAACGAGCAAGGTTAAGGAAAATTTTAGAGAGAATAAGCTGATTGTACTTGAGACAACTAATCAATTGAATAAACTTGAAGATCAAAAGACAGTGAATGATTAGTCTTAGTATATAGTTAATATTGAGAATAGCTAATTTAGTCTCAATATCATATGCTTATTCTTTGCTGTAACTTATAATGCGCATGAAATTTGAAAAATTGTAAATTTGCCCATGCATAACAACTATGGTATTCACTATCGCTATATTGCATTTTAATAAAGTCACGAAAATAAAATTTTAGTTTAATGAAAATATAAAAATTAAAATAATTTAAATAATTTAAAGAAATAAATAAATTTTTTTTTTTTAGAATTGAAAAAAAAATTTCATTGATTAATTAAGTGGTTATCGGCTCATAGTAAAACATCTCGAAGCTTCTAATAAAATACCAGACCAAATTTGATAGAAATTTTTTTTCTATTCTATAGATTTAAAAAATGTTAATTAAATTTTATCAGGTGAATGATGTTCGAACAATATATCTTGACAAATACCTAATTAATTTCTTTTTAAAATTCATAGAATTAAAATAAAAAAAAATTTCAATGAATTTGATTAGGTAGTTGCCGAGGTGTCTTCGTTCAGAGTTTAAAGAACTAATTATTTAATCTTTCAATAACAATATTTATAGCTAATAAAATTATTTTTTTGCTTATCTCCTTTATTAAAATTCAGATACCAGTCGTTTCATTTCACCAGAGTATAATTTTCACTAGTTCACCTTTCATTTGAGGTTTCGTCTTTCACCAGGGGTTTCGACTTTCACTAGAGGTTTCGCCTTTCGTTTTTCGTGAGTTTTGTTTTTCATCAGAGTTTTGTCAGTTTCGCCTTTTTTGGGTTTAGGTTTTGTCTTTCACCATTTTTTGTAAAACAGTTTCGCCTAACAACTATATGTTCAACCCCAAAGGGAAGTTTTTTAATTTTAATAAACTTATAGTATTCGATTTTTTGATTATGAAGCTGATTATGGCCTAAATTTACATGAGTTAACTGTATTATTCATTTCGCTTAAGTATTAATTAGTAAAAAAAATTATTATTAAAACTACATATACTAGTAAAAATTATATCATAATAGTCGAATGAACGGTCGAATGGCATTCGAATTATACTATTTGACATGTTGAATTTTTTCAAATAGTGAGTCTATGTGGCAAATTAAACTCTAGACGATAGTTTGATATGAATTAGTGCCGATTATGAAATATGATAATAGTTTAATGAAGTAGTTAAAGAAGTCAAATTCAAATAAGTTTAAGCGATTGGTACTTAAATTTTTTTTTATAAATATATGGCAAATTCGAACAGTTTTTTTAAAAAATTTTCTTCTCTCTTCTTTTTTCTTTCTTCTCTCAAGTTTACTCAAAAATTCTTTTAAAAAAAATTTTTAATTCAACCTATTTTTGGCATGGCTAGAACCAAAAAAACCCGATCAATATATCCCTTAAACCAATCTACTTCTTCAACTCAACTGTTTTCGACTCGACCATCTACTACCACTTCGACCCAACCATCCACTACCACTTCGACCCAACCATCCACTACTACTTCGACCTAACTATCTACTACCACTTTGACCCAACTATCCACTACCACTTCGACTCAACTATCCTCTACCACTTCGACCCAATCATCCACTACCACTTCGACTCGACCATCCACTACTACTTTGACTCGACCATCTACTACTACTTCGACTCGACTATCTACTACTACTTCGACCCAACCATCCACTACCACTTCAACTCTACTATCCACTACTACTTCGACTCGACCATCCACTACTACTTCGACCCAACTATCCACTACTATTTTGACTCTACCATCCACTACTACTTTGGCCCGACTCACTTTAACCACCACCACTCCGACTCAGCCAACAATTGTAATTTCGCCTTTACATATCACTACCACTTCTCCGCGCCAATCAAAAAATGTAACTCTCATAGAATCTATTTCCCCCACTACTCATGATGCTAGCAGAAGTAGAAGTAGAAGCAGAAGTGGAGAATGGTTAGAAACTTTATCTAATTTTGATTTAATCAAAAGGAACAGGAGGATGGATAACGGTAAATTTTTATTCATTGTTAAATGGTGGCCAAATATATATCGAATTATAATATACACTGATAAAAATTAAAAAATTCAACTTGTCGAATAATTAATTCGAATTCCTAGGAATTCGAATTAATTATTTAACAAGTTGAATTTTTTAATTTTTATCAGTGTATATTATAATTCAATATATATTCAGCTACC